TACACTTCCTCTCCGGTGCGGTGTCTGACAGTGGGTTCGAGTGATAGTCTTCGCGATAGACAAACGGACAGCAGAGGCTGTAATCGGGAAAGAATAGCGCCGTCGACACCACCGACGTGTCCACCGCTGGACCGCATTCCTCCTCCTCTTTGCCCGACCTCTTCCTCAAGTACTTCCGGATATTATACAAGACTTCAGTAATGACCACAACTGATGACACGTATAACACATATCGCAAGACATCAGACATTATGTGAAGAGTTAAGAGACAATCAATGAGTGAATGCTTTCAACAGACGATGTGTTTTGTAAACACCACTCAAAGAGAGACTCTTTTTGAGCACATGTTTTGGTTTGCAATTTATAGTTCATATAAGACATGCATTTGTAGTGCAATAGGGGTTTGCATTGAAATCAATTATCACAACTCGTGTTGGGGTTCAATAAAAGTGTTGTATTGTCACAGTATTTGTTAACACATCTCTCTATAACACAACATGTGATTTAAAAAAACACATGAATTACAAGAAAATTGAATGAATTGTTTGTTTTTGTAATCATTTTAAACACAATTTAAGTGACAATTAAACTGAAGATTGGATTGGATTTGAAGTTTAGTTTTGAAATCCATTTGTTGTGAGAAATGGATTCAAAGGCGAAGAAGACTTCGAAGAATAAGGAGTCGAAGAGTTTGCGATATTTTGGCCAAAAAACTACCGATGAGTTCAACGTTAAGGACGTAATCGTATCGACAAATACGGCGCCAAACGATGGACTCAAGAGGAATGTGGTTAAGGAGTGGACGGATGACCGCAAACGACCCAATCATCCGAAGCCACAGTTTGTCAACAATCGGTTCGTCAGTAAAGATAAACTCCAGAAATACGAGCGGAAGAAGAAAATGAATCCCGTATTTAATGATGTCTTTGACATGCATTTGATTTGATTGTCTCATGTGTTTATGTCTTTGTTTGTCTAGCATTTGGCCACAAAATACCATAAGTTTCGCCAAAGACTGACTGATGAGGAAAAGAAACGTCAAAACAGTATCGGATTCGCCGCCAGATCTGAGCTCTTGTTACCCGAAATGAGCGGCTTCTTGGAGGCCGACGACAACGAAGAGACGTATCAAATCACTCAACAGGAGATCATTGAGTCGGTGGACATCACGAGCGCCACAAAACACTTTGATCTTAATTTGGATCAATTGGGACCCTATTGTGTGAATTACTTCCGCAACGGCCGTAATCTATTGCTCGGCGGTCGAAGAGGACACGTGGCGGCCATCGATTGGCTCACGAAAGAGTTGATCTGCGAGTTCAACGTTCAGGAGTCGGTTCACGACATCCATTGGCTTCATATGCCGACGATGTTTGCGGTCGCGCAGAAGGATTGGGTCTATATTTACGACTCGAGAGGCACTCAAATCCATTGTCTCAAGAAGTTGTACCGCATCTATAAACTAGACTTTCTTGCGTATCACTTCCTGTTGGTCTCGGCCTCAGACAACGGCCACATCTCATGGCTGGACGTCTCGATGGGACAGTTGGTGTCGTCCACGAAGATGAAAGTGCCGCGCGTGACGGCTATGAAGCAGAACCCATACAACGCTATCGTAGCGACCGGTCATCCGAACGGAACGGTCGACATGTGGTCACCGAATCAGAAGGAAAGAGTGGTATCGATGCTCTGTCACGCGTCGTGTGTGCGAGACGTGGCCTTTGACTGCGAGGGCCGGTATATGGTTAGCGCCGGTATCGACCGCACACTCAAAGTGTGGGACATTCGTAACTACAAATGCCTCCAACACTATAGTCTCCGTTCAATGCCATCACATCTGGACGTAAGTCAACGCAATTTCGTTGCCGTTTCGGTGGGAAATGTGGTCGAGATATACAACGACTGCTTCCGACAGCCGGTGGACAAGCCTTATATGAGACACCGACTCAATGATGTCATCTCTGACATCGAGTTCTGTAATTTTGAGGACGTGTTGGGAATCGGACACCAAAAAGGGTTCACTTCAGTGATCATTCCGGGCTCAGGAGAGCCTAACTTTGACGCTCTCGAAGCCAATCCATACATGACTGCATCTCAACGAAGGGAAATGGAGGTGAAGGCGCTGCTCGAGAAGATACCATCGGAACTGATCTCATTGGAGCCCAATATTTTGGGAACTGTTGACAAACAGTCAGTTTTGCAACAAATAGAGGGCAAGAAAGGTGTGAATTATGTTAAACCAAAAGACATTGAATTAGAGTCGAGACCGAAACGGAAGCGACAGAAAACTGCCAAAAAAGCAAAGATAAAGAAAGGGTTGAAAAATGCGACCAAAAGGGATGAAATCAAACAAAATGTTAGCCAAAAAGTGCATAAAAAGAAGGATAAAACCAATACAGATGTGACCAAAAAGCATGTATTGGATAGATTTAAGCCTAAATCAGACTAATAGTTGTCATGAATTGTATTTTATTTAATGGTATTTACAAATAAAAATTATTTTCGTTTGTTTTTTGATTTCATTTGTTTCTTATCGACAAACTGTACGCCATTTCGATATTTTCCAATTTGATAGTCAAAACCTTTGACACCATTAGGATTGCGCTTCTGTTTCTTCTGTCTAAACAACAAATTAATTAAAATAATTATCTTTAATTTAGTTCCCAAACCATCGCTCACTTATAGATTTTGGTTTTGTGATGAATTTGTTGACTATTTTGCTCTTTCTCGTCGTCTTCTCTCGTTTTGATGGCTTTCCTCTCTTCCATCAATTGTTTATAGTTCTTATACTTTCCTTTACGAGGCTTTCGATCAATAAATATATAGCAATTGAAATACCGTATAATCTGCTATACAATCGATTAAATTGATTCAAAGACAACTCACAACCGCTCCGAGACTAATGGCGTGCGCTATTTTGGCCTCACGTTTCTCCGTGCGGTCCAAACCCGATGTCCCGAATTTGAACACTTCATGTCTCAGCTTTTGGAACTCAAAGTCTGGATTGGTTTTCAATTTTTTGAACGTCTCGTCAAATGTTTTCTGGAATACAATAAATACTGTTTTATAAGAATAATTGCGTCAACTTTTTAATTACTTTTTTCTCTATATCACTGATAAAAGTCGTGATAAGTTTTTTAAAGTTATTTTCAAGACATATAACTTATATATGATATAAGTTGTGGGAAAAATCAGATCACAAATTACAACAATAGATGGATAGGAAGTGTCAAACAATTCAAGAAATGTGTCATAAATTTTTAGCAATAAATATATTTATAAATCGAGAGTGAAAGTTATGCGATTTTAAATCATTTCGAAAATAACCGGTATTTACAGTAAGTTTTGTCTATAAATGTGTGACTGGAGTGAGAAATAAAACAATAGTTTCTTCAAAACAATATCTTAATCAACGGGTCGTTCAACTGTTTATAACACTTTAATCTCTTGTAATTATTTCAAAGTGTGGCCAAATTATAACTGCAATTTCATTATGTTGTCTATCATGAGACCAAATTTAGTAAATCCATAGCATGTGTATTAACGTTAATTGTGATGGTATTGTAATCTCAATATGTATTGAGGTTTACTATAATTTTGAATCATTTTTAAAGTTTATAATAATTGCTGGAAATCAACGTTGTATTTGAAAATAATACAAATGTCATAAAAAGTCGTAAAATCACTAAAAATACTAATTAGAATAGAGTATTATAAAATTGCAAATAAAATCTACAATAATTGTCATTTATTATTAATTTTAAGAAATTTAAAACTCCTTTATTTTCAACTCTAAGAAAATACAAAGAATTGCGTCAAACGTAAAAAGATAGTAAAGTCATAGCAAATCGTAACAAAATTATATTAAAAAACTATTAAAACATTTATATAATAATTCATTTTATAATTAATAGAAAAATAAAACTCAAATGCAATTAGAGTTTGGAAACAATTTGTGCCGAGTTTTGAGGAAAACCGAGTCTATAAATGGCGACCACAACGGCTCCGCCGAGACCTATATTGTGCTGTAGGGCGTGCTTAGCGCCGGCCACTTGTCGGGCACCGGCTATATTGCGTAACTGCCAGTTGAGTTCAGCGCATTGGGCCAAACCCGTCGCACCCAATGGATGCCCTTTACTCAGTAAACCACCTAAAAATAGGCACCGATTATACAAATTATAAACACTTTTTAAGGGACACTTTGAGCGCCCGGACTATGAACTGACCGCTCGGATTAATCACATATTTGCCGCCATAAGTATTCTGATTGCTGTCCACTAAGTCCTTGCCTTTGCCGACGGGACACAAACCCAACGCCTCATAAGTGATCAATTCATTGGTCGAAAAGCAGTCGTGAAGTTCGATAACTTGTATATCATCGGGCGTTAGACCAGATTCGGCAAACGCCCGCTCGGCCGCCAGTTTAGTCATATCAAAACCAATCAATTTTATGGCAGATTTCTCCTCAAAAGTAGACGGAGTGTCTGTCGTCATCTGCATCGACACGATCTCAACGGCCTGTTCTGTCAGATTGTGTCGCCGGACAAAGTCCTCTGAGGCCAGAATAGCGGCCGCCGAGCCATCGCTCGTCGGACAGCACTGATATCGGGTCAGAATATCGTAGACTTTTGGCGAATTCATAATTTCCTCGAGAGAGTGCTCTTCGCGGAACTGAGAGTACGGATTGTTAACCGAATGTCTGTGATTTTTGGCCGCAATTTTGCCAAAATGCTCGGCTTTCGTGCCGTATCTCTGCATATGCTCTTTGCCGGCGGCGCCAAACATCTGGGCTGTGATGGGCGCCGCTTCCATGCCGTACAGGTCGTAGAAGAGGCCGACGTGTGATTGCATCGGATTGATCCGATCCTTGAACTTGGATGTGAGCGCTCCCCTCTCCATCTTCTCGAAGCCCACGGCTATCGTACAGTCGTATAGACCGCCGGCGATCATATTTTTGGCCAAATACAGAGCCGTCGAACCCGTCGAGCAATTGTTGTTCACGTTAACGATGGGAATGCCAGTCATCCCGATCTCGTACAACGCCTTCTGACCGCAGGTCGAGTCGCCGAATACATAGCCGACGGCCGCCAACTCCACGTCCGAGTACTGCAGCCGCGAGTCATTTAAGGCGTTAGTGACCGCTTCGGACACCATTTGCGGGTAATCCAGCAGTTTGTTGACCCCCGGCCTCACAAACTTTGTCATTCCCACCCCTACCACAAACACTCGCCTCCCTTTCGCCATTCAAGCAATTGCACAAACACTTCAACAATCTATACGTTTTTATATCTAATGGTCGATCACTTCCTCAACAAAAATCAATGAAATCGATATTTTAAACACAATTCAAGTCATGAATTCAAAACAAATTATAACTCATATTAATTATGAATATAATTTTAATGCAAAGAAACTCTATTTGAAACTGAATTCAAACCAAAATGTAATAATTATTTACACAAAAAGTGAATAAACAAATTGTTGATTAAAAATCGGGACGAAATGTGATGTGAAATATAAACACAAATGTATTGATAATTTGTTAGACAAGTGTATCGTTGAGTGAATACAACGACTGAATCCAAGTCTCACACAAATCCCTCCCCAAGAGGTGAGTCTTCATTCACTGCTCTTATTATTGCCAATAGTTTTTGCCTTTTTCACCAGTTTTTCCACATTTTCATTCAATATATAGGAAAAGCAAATCCATTCACAACTCAATTATATTCAGTATTTTATAAATACATATCATTTGTACTCAATTTTCTTAAATATTAAGAAATCGATTGATTGATTGGTAATTAAACTCAAAATTGTTTTATTTAAAAATTAATTTATTATTACATCAGTTATCACATGAAAGGCGAAAAAGTTTTGCAAAGTTTTTGTCACTTATTTTGGTTAAAATCCCTTCAAAAAACATCAGAATTTAAGCGATTCTTGAATTAAATGACAGAAATATAAAGAGTTTCACAATTATTTGTAAAAATAACTTTAATATAAATTATATTTATAACAATTAAAAGAAACTTTTAGTTCATTCAATTGACATATAATTAAATACAAAACATGATTGAAGTTAAAGGGAAAAAATCAGACACTTTTTGACAAATAAAAACCAATTGAATAATTAATAAATAATTTTCTCTCGCATTATATTTCTCTACGAAAAACCCGATTAAAAGTGTTTTACGCATGAAATACATCCCAAACAATGGTTTTCATCAGACAATAGGACATAATATATATGAAATCAATACAAGATATCGTTTAGTAATAACCGATGCGTTAAATAAACAGATTATTATCTCTGCCAACGATTGGGTCCTATATTTCAGTCACATTTAAATGAGTTTGAAATGCAAATCAACTTCACGTCAGAAAACATAACTTTTTTACGGCTAATTGTATGCAAAGACAGACCAATGATTTGTTGCTCTCAATGAGTATCAAACCAAATGAGTCTTAAATACAATCTAAAAATTTTTAATTTCAATCAAAAGACAATTTAATGGCAAAAATGATTGAATAGTATTCGTATCGATAAATGCATTGAAAAATTTCGCATTGAAATCAATGGGAAAATCCGTCAACAAAAACAAGACTTACTTTTATTTTGCGATTCATATCTTCGGATGTAATCAACGATTGATTAGAAATAATACATTCAATGGTTGGACACGATATGGGATGAGATCTACACACAAATCAAATGGACTTCAATTTAAGCCACAATTGAATTAAACACTGATTTAATGAATTGATGTTTGCATTGGATTTGCATTACATGTGATTGAATGCAATGATTGAATGCATGTGTCGTTCATTCATATAAAACGTGTCATAAAAAGCACACAAAAAGGCATTGAAAACAAACAATTGATTCAAAAATATCACACATTTTGTTGTTTATCGGCATTTGTCTGAAGCGTTGGATCAGTTGTTTTGTTGCTTACGGTTTGTGCGAAGACAATGGCTAGCGATGGTCATCAAAGTGCCGGCGACTGGTGTCTCATTGAATCGGATCCGGGCGTCTTCACGGAGTTGATCCGTGGCTTCGGTAAGCGATTTGATAGTGAATTTTTTTGTCAAGTCATTGAATGGTTCGCTAATGAATGCCATTGTCTTCTTCAGGAGTGAATGGAGTACAGGTCGAAGAGTTGTATTCGTTGAGTGCTGACTGTTTCGTTAACCTCAAGTAATGATCACTTTTAGCGAATCCATTGATTTTTGTAATTGTTGTCATTGTGTCCACTATTAGACCGATTCATGGATTGATATTTCTGTTCAAATGGATGCCATCGACCGAACCGGAGGGCAATGTCGTGGACGACGAGCGGGTGTTCTTCGCCAAACAGGTGATCAACAACGCGTGCGCCACTCAAGCCATCATTAATATACTGCTCAACTGCGGCCACGAAGACATACAATTGGGCCAAACGTTAACCGATTTAAAGGAATTCATTCAGTACTTCGACCCGACGATGAAAGGCCTGGCGTTGAGTAACTCGGATGTCATCAAACAGGTCCACAACTCGTTCTCCAGACAACAAATGTTTGACTTCGAGACCCAGAAGGCGCAGAAAGACGACGACGTGTTTCACTTCATATCATACGTGCCGATCAACGGCCGACTCTACGAGTTGGACGGCCTTAAGTCGGGACCCATTGATTTGGGAGCCATCCCTTTGGCCACCGATTGGATCGATACGGCGCGGCCTCACATCGAGAAGCGGATGCAGAAGTACGCGGAGGGAGAGATTCACTTCAATCTGATGGCACTCATCAGCGATAAGAAAATGCTTTACGAGAAACAGTTGGCGTTATTGCAGAAACAGGTGGAGAGCGACGTCTCGATGGACACGGACTCGATTGAGGCCGAAATATGTCATCTGAAAGCCATGATTGCCGAAGAAGACACCAAAATGAAGAGATATAAAGTGAGTATTCATTATACGGTACACTTTGTATGCATTTTATTCATTTGTTTCATTGCTATCGATATATAGGTTGAGAACATTCGCCGAAAACACAATTATTTGCCACTAATTATGGAGATCTTGAAGACGTTGGCAGCGGAGGGACGGCTCACCGATTTGGTAGATAAGGCCAAACAGAAGGCCATTCAAGTGAAAAAAATCAAAGACGACAAGAAGTCCAATAAGACATAAAAACGGCGATTATTTTTAATCATTTTTTAATATTTATTACATTC